AATTTACACAAGTAATTCATGCTTTGAGTCCTAAACTACCCGGACTTTAGCATTAATAGTAGCTACGCACAGACTCTCGTCACCTCGTGCGTACGTAACCCCCGCAATTAGCAATAATTATTCAATTTAATCCCTATGGGGTAATTTCCCCTTCACAAGATTAGACAAGAGACTTACCTCGTCTTTCTCCAATTTAATCCACTAGTTGGCATTTTCCTCGATTATCCAACTTCGATTGGCTCGAATCTAACCAAAAATAATTCGATACAATTACTAAAATTTATAGAAATTAATTCTATAAGAAAATACTACATTTTCAATAAACAAATCTGAAATTAGTTAAAGATTCGTCTGTGGGGCCCACATTTCGGAATCCGACAAAAGTTATGAAATCCGACAACCCATTCAATTACGAAAACACTAATTAAATGATGAAAACAATGATATATTTGTGTATATAGACCAAATCCGAGTTGGAATCACCTACCTCAAATGTCTTTCCTTGAAAAATCTGCCAAACGTCGCTTCTGCTCAAGCTCAAGTTTGTCAAAAATAACAAATGGGTCGAATGCCTCTATTTTTATAACTTACATATCTGCCCAGTTCGACCTCGGGAGCTCGATCTTGGGAGCTCAATCTCGGGAGCTCGATCTCGGGAGCTTGATCTTGGGCTCGATCATAGCCTAGAATTTCCAGCAGAAGAGAAAAATTGCAGCAGTTGTTTAAGTCCAATTTGTGATCCGTTAACCATCCGAAACTCACCCGAGGCCCTCGGGACCTCAACCAAATATACCAACAAGTCCTAAAACATCATACAAACTTAGTCGAACCTCTAAATCACATCAAACAACGCTAAAACCACGAATCATACCCCAATTCAAGCTTAATGAAACTAAAAAATTTCAACTTCTGCATTCGAAGTGAAAACCTATCAAATCAACTTCTATTGACCTCAAATTTTGCATATAAGTCATAAATGACATAACGGAGCTATAAAAATTTTCGGAACTGTATTCCGACTCTGGTATCAAAAAGTTAACTCCCCGGTCAAACTTCCAAACTTAAATTCTTGTTTTAGCCATTTCAAGCCTAATTTCACTACGGACTTCCAAATAAAATTCCGATCATGCTCCTAAGTCAAAATTCACCATACGGAGCTGTTGGAATCATCAAAAATTCTATTTTGGGGTCGTTTTCACATAATTCGACATCCGGTCACTATTTGAACTTAAATTTATTTTTAATCAAAATTTCATATCTTGGGCTAGGGACCTCGGAATTTGATTCCGGGCATACTCCCAAGTCCCAAATCACGATACTGACCTACCGAAACTGTCAAAACACTGATCTGAGTCTGTTTGCTCAAAAAGTTGACCAAAGTCAAACTTGGCCTTTTAAAGCCAATTTAAGGAACCAAGTGTTCCGATTTCAACCCAAACACTTCCAAATCCCAAAACAACCATCCCCACGAGTCATAAATCATTTAAAGCACCTACGGGAAGTTTTATTTTAGGGGAACGGGGTTCTAAAAGTCAAAACGACCGGTTGGGTCGTTACATTCTCTCCCACTTAAATATATGTTCGTCCTCGAACGTGCTAAGGAGTGTTCTGGAGTTATCTAAAATTACTGTTTAATACCTCGTGCACCTACCCGTGCTACCACACCCAGTTAAGCACATTAACTCGAGCCAATCTTAAAATTCTCCCATTTATTTAAGCAAATAAGCCTTAGAGCACAATTCTAACATCCAGAATTCTCCACCACGCTTGTTTCCAACCTATGAATGTCGTATCAATCACTACACAATGCACTACTACAGGATTGCATACCTTTGTTGAATTTAGACCATGCACTACATCATTCACATGACTATAATAACATCCTCCGATAACAATAGCCAAAATTTCACGAATCTGATGTTCACCACACACCTCATGATACATATAAGTCATGTTCCAACTCTTGAAATGCTTCCACGATGGAAGAAATTTGTAGAAATTGATAATCAACTGCCGAGTTAACAATTATTGAGTTTCTCCTTATGACAAGAACCATTGCCTCATTATAACCAAATAATGGTATTTTCTCTTTATTACACTCCATATAATCCGATCGCACTGATCCCAAATCCAATAATCTCGTCTCCCCAAGTATAAGTTGCTCAGGCAATAAACCACCTCAGACACAATCAAAAAGCCTCATATGATGCCACGATGAGCTAATAAGCTACGGACTCGATTGCGATACATAAGAGAAATGAACTCTAGAAAGGATTACTCAACCCACGTGACTAATTAGACAACTGAAAAGGTGTCATGAACCTTCCTCAGAAAATGGGACACAAACACACAAAATAGAATATAGGGGACTGTACTCAACATCACACTGTTGCGACGTGCAATCCGATCCACACATGATATCGTTGCGGCGTGCAACTCGATTCAAACAACATACCCGTGGCGGCGTGCCACCCGATTCGCACAAAAAGAATCTATAAGAAAATACTTACCGAGCTAAAATGCTCATTACTACAAAATATCCGAATATCGGACACAAACACGCTCAGGGCATAATATCATCTCTGGAAGGACCGACAGCGCCATACGCTACAAAGCTCAAGCACAACTAAGGTGCGATATATGATCTGAATCTCGAGAGCCATCCTGCTCATATAACATCATCGCTATGCGAAACCTCAACACATAAGAAAATTATCAAACCGTTTCGCAACTCACACGGCACAATATAGTATTACATGAAATAACCGACAACGAAATGACATCCAACGTCTGAATACTCCTCCATAGGGAGCAGTTATGCTAAAATGAACACATCCGGCTTGATATAGAGCCCATATTCATATTCAAATCCATCCACAGACCTCAAGCTGATTCTGATCGCACCGTACTAGGCTAATAACCTTTCAAGGATCCATAATAAACCTTTTTCCCATAAACCCACAAGAATAGCCATCATAATCGGAACAACTTCCACAGTACACAACCAAATGAACAGAGCGCCCTCCATGCATAAATTCTCGAATCAGCAATATTACCACAATCTTCATATTTGGTTTCAATCTTCACTCAATCAAGTGACTACATGTCACTCTTACACAATATTTCCGTGAGACACGCTCCCACGACCTTTCGCACCAGGTAATAAGTTTGCACATCCATGCTACCGGTTATATTAATGCTGTAAAGCGTATCAAAAATCCACAAATCAATACACAAGGTCTCTTACACCTGACATCGACCTTAGATGATGCCAAAAACAATACCATCTTACTTTAAATCTCTAAATCCCTTTCCTGCTCATCCGAGCTCATGACATCCTTGTCAACACCGAACCAAAATCTTAAATCCTCAACTTTCGAATCCCATGCTACTTAGTGCACTTAACCACGCCAATGTGCAGGAGTACAAGAATTCCATCATAACTCCTGAACCACTAATAGAGTAAACACTTCATCATATAGAAACCTTCTTCTTAACTCATTTCAAGAGATCCATTGCAACACGTGACTGAATTCCCATATCCGTAGAAACTACCAGCCTCCAATAGTGGTCTAAACCACCATAACTCTTCTGGGATCCCTCTACACATAACATGTCATAATACTTGAATTCCTCCAGATAAAATCAATTACGGCGGCCGCCAAGCCTCGCACGTACCGCCACAAATTATATGAATAACTCTATGCGCTGAAGGAACTAGTCGTTACCACCATCATGCCGATTCAACCATTGTTAGCCGACCCGTATTTTTCTCAATTTATTCTCAACTTACCTTAGAAATAATAATAGCTTCATTCATTACATCACGAACTCAAATCCGCACTCATCCCAAGTGACGTTATTTCACGAGACCACGCTGTTTCAAAATCCACAAATCATCTCATACCCTTTCTTGTGCAC